TCTCTCCCTAATCTATATACCTAATCTGCTTTTTTGCATATCTCACAAAGGAATGTTATAGTACACTGTACCTACATAGTTCCATGTAAATAACTAAAACAATGCTGTCTCTCTGTTTGCTTCTTGAACCTCTCGAGAATCATCTGAAAAACTGGCCCTTTACCTCTCTGTCCTGTTCCTCTTCATCAACTAGGATGTTTTATAACGTACTTCTATAAAAAAAAAAATTTTAAAAAAACGTTTCTTTATGTTAAATATTCATTCTAGAGATGCAATTAGACCAAACCCTTCACGTGAAATTAAAAGTTAGATGGGTTCTATTTAGTAATACTTAATATAACTAGACAGAGATAGTGATTTTTGTCTGTCGGAATAATAATATTTGGAGTTGAATTAAAAAAAACACAGGCGTCAACTAAAGGGATACTGAGAGCTAGCTAACTACGTACACATAAATTCACGTCGTCCACCTGAGCCATATTTTTTTTTGTCTTCTAACTCTTTGTTTCCAAAGGATTCTTTGCCTTTAGCGTGTTGTAGAAATGCTGCTAGGAGACTGTGAGGAGAAGATGGCACTCATCTCTTCATCAACAACAACCAGTAATGAATGGCCACCACAAACACAGGTTTTTAGTTTTTACTAGTACATATAATGTCATTCATTCTTGTCTCCCTTTCAATTATTTGACAAAAAATTTTTGTGACCCCAATTTTTTTGTATTTTAGCTTTTGGAAGGGAATACTATGTTTTAGGTGTTGGTTTTTAGTTTTTCTTTCTTGCCTAAAGTCACCCACCCCCTCTCCTCTTCCAAGTCTTTCTCTTTTCTTTTTTCTGATCCCTTTTGTTTTGTTGCTCTTGTTCCAGAATAATCAGATAGATGAGAAAGGAGGGTTAGGGATGAATTCATCAGCGAGCAGGGTTTTGATGGAGAAACCAAATCAGGACCAACAACAACAGATACAACAACAAGTACCTCTGAAATGCCCTAGATGTGATTCATCAAACACCAAGTTTTGTTACTACAACAATTACAGTTTGTCTCAGCCAAGGCACTTTTGTAAAGCTTGCAAGAGGTATTGGACTAGAGGTGGAACCCTAAGGAATGTTCCAGTTGGTGGTGGTTGTAGGAAAAACAAAAGGGTTAAAAGACCAGCTTCTTCTCTTACTCATGAGGTTACTTCTTCTTCTTCAGCTACTTCTTCACTTCATCATCAAACTGCCATTTCTTCAAACCCTAGTAGTACTACTCTTCCTCAGCTAGATCTATCTTCTTCATCAGCAGCGGCAAGAAGTATTAATCCGTTGTTCTACAGCTTACTCACCAATAATAATCATGATTCTTCTTCAGACCTCAATAGTCTTGCTTATCCCAGGTTTAGTACTTCTTCTAATGGTAACTATGAACTTCATCAGCCACAAATGAATGATCTTGGAGTAGGGTTTTCATCATCAGGGCTTCTAGCTAGTTATAATAATGGGTTCAGTTCAAGCAAGCAGATTCAAGATGTTATTCCTTCTTCAACTGCTTCACTCCTTTCTTCAGGTTATATGAATCCTATCTTTGGATCATTGAGTTCTACTACCTCTAGTTCAACAATTAGTTCACTCCTAGCTTCCAGCTTTCAAAAGCAAAACAAGCTTGTATTTGGTGGTCTAAAGGATGGTGGAGCGGTTGGGAATAATAACGGATTTCATGGAGGAGGATTACTTGAACCATATGAAGACATGCAAATGGCCAAAGATGTGAAAATGGAATGGAGTAATAATACTAGTACCACTGTTGGTAATGGTCAGAGCAATATTAATCACATTAATCCGCAAATCAACAGTACTAATTCTGACCAATCCTTGTTGTGGAATACAGCTTGGCTTGATCCTTCCAATATGGGATCTTCTGTTCCTTCTTTGATCTAGCATATACCCATACTACTTTCTTCATTTCTCTCTAGATCATCTCTCTCTTCTTACCCTTTTGTCTTTTGCCAATTTCTAGGCTAGGCAGCCTTTTTCTTTCTTTCTTTTTTTTTTCTTTTCTTTTGTGCTTTTGCTAATTTTTCTTAGTATATCATATTGGTCAAATTGTGGTTGATACAAAAAGGGATGTTAGAAGAAGCAAAGAATATATTCATGAGCAAAGGAGATGGGATCTGAGTGATCATGTCAGCTGCAAATTCAACAAAATCTCATCAGCCTGCTGTTTTTTTTATGTCAAGGGTTTTTTTGAGAGAATCTCATGATTTTTGCGCTGAGAGGAACCTCAGATCCTTTTTTTCTCTGTAGTCCGGAGTACATGTTCAATGGTGGGGATATATGCTTGAAGATCTAACAATGGAATCGGCTGATCTTGAAGTCCAAAAAGTGAGTCAGATTTAATCTTTTTGTTAATGTACATATATATATGTGTATCAAAACTTTTACTATTCCCCCTTTATCTTATGTTGTGTTAGAAGTAGTCTTTGGTGGCTGGATTTTTAGTTTATGTTCTGTGTGTTAACTAGTGTGATAAGAGCACAGGTTATTTGGGGTATAAAATGGTATACGAGAGAGGGTGATTTTTCCAATTCCTGTTGTCTATGGTTATGTCTCATTCACTTGACATTTTTGGCAATGCCTCGATTTTATTCATATTTGTTGCTTCTTTTCCCCAAAACATTTCTATCCTATTGGAAAGGGAGATACTTACCATGATACTCCAACATATATCGTTAGATTTATATGTTTATTACTTATTATATTCTAAAATTATTGTCTAATTTAAATTTTTATTCTTAATTCAATTTGTACTAAAAATGAAAATCTAAACTCCAAACTGGTTATACTTTTGAGACGGGAGAATATTTCGAATATTATAAAGTGTAGAATTATAATACAAGCTTTTTTTTACTATGTCTTATTCAGTTCATCGAAATTGATCAGTCTCGTTAGTAATTAATGAAATGATTTTGAAAAAAAAATTATGTTACACTGGGTAATTGAGTTCGTTGAGTGGTGCAAGCATATCCATGCTAGTAATGTTCATATACATTTAGGCCATGCAAATTAGTTGAACAGTATGAGGGAAAGTGAAGGGTAGATTTTGAATGTAAAGCTCACCTTTTGGCACTATCGATCTTTTGTGGTGTTTTCATCTTCTTTGATGGTTGGTGATCGACCGTATCTACAACATTTCGACAAGCCAAAATACTTAAATTGTACTCTGACCTTCCATAATAATATTCCCGTCCCCAAATAATTATTCAGTTTAAATTTTTATTTTTCTATTAAAAATTATATTAGAAATAAAAATCCAAATGGGACAATAATTTTGAGACAGAGAAATTAATAGTTATATAATTTCTTGAATTATTATAGTTATTTTCTTAATTTCATGGTTATGGAACCGCTTGGTACGTATGAAATGAGAACGTGGCAAAAGGATATGATGGATTTGAGAATATAAACAAACAATTTTTCACGAGAATCACTATCAGCTAATTAAAAGGTTAATGATGAAGAAGCCCCGGATTTCATCGGAACCATCCAATAAAGAAATACCGGTAACAAAATTGACGTTATGTGAGCCGACCCGGTTCCTCCGTTCTAGGGTTATGTCCAATAATGACTAATGCATTTTTTATTTTGAGCACCGCAGTTCTTTCCTTATCTATATCTACACGTATATAAATAAAATCATTCCTAACTTCTGAAATCTTTCTTCAAGTATAAGTTAAGGGGTTAAACGTGAGATGAGAGACTTTAGGTAAAAATGATAGATTAGTGTATGCCGGACAATTTTTTGTTTTCATGGCAAACTTATTGTCGAATAAATTCACCCAAAATACTGTATTTATTTTCATTATTTCTATAGTAGTGTCTTCTTTCCAGCTGTTGAAACGCTCCGAGAAGATAATATTCCCGAAGCGTTGTTATTGTCAGCAAGAGCACTCATTCTCACGTGTTCTTAAAGTTCAACTTCTTCAAAAGGGAAAAAAAAAAAAAAAAAAAAGGTCAAGAAATATAATTTAAAGCAGGTCCGAGATTGTTTCTACAGCAAGGGTTAGATCACCCGGGGAATGCAGCAGGTGAAATTCCGGCAGTTATACGAGAACTTAACTATATATCTAAGGACATCCATGCATAGTAGTAACGTTATTGAATTTTCTAGGCCATGGATTGCAGGAAGTGAAGAACGGGTATGCACTACTCAATCTTGTCCTTCTTATAAGATTTGTCTTAAGCTTTACCTAATATATATTTTTAGATTGAAAAAAAAATTCTTAAAAATATATTTTCACAATCATTGTGTTCTCCAAATTATTAAGAATATTTTTAAGGTTAAACTAAATTGAAAAAATATACTAGTTGAAACCTATGACAAATCATAATGCATGTATATATGATACTCCTTCTTTACGTCTCAAAAAAATTATACATATTGAGTTTTGAAATTTGTATTGGACAGAGGGAGTAAAATAAACAGAGGAGGATCAAGGTTTGCTCAATCTTAGTATTTCTGTTTCCATCATCAATTTGGAAAAATCTAAGCCTTCTATCGTCCCTATATGGATTTTCACTGTCAAAGGAGGATCAAGGGTTTGCTCATTTAGTACCTGGTTTTTACTTAGGCGTGCTGCGACCTCAGTCAGCCAAGTCATGGTCTTCTTCATGAACTGGAGTACGATGATGTTACTGTCATAGTTTCTTACATCAATTAATTATGTAGATATTGGATTAGTATTTGACTGAAATACTGCTGGTAGAATAGAGGAGACAAATATCTATAAGGTGAAAGATTCCGTTGTGTTCAAGGCGCTGAATAATTTCAAGTAATCAATCGGTTATATTACTTCATCGCTGGCAATTCGTTCTTTAGTTTTCTGCTGATAAACTTGTACTTTTGATTAAATAAACAAACATTTTGAGTATTTTCTGGACCAGTTACCAAATTGCACAAGTGGAATTACCCATTAATAATTGATTTTTTTTTTCTCCTGGAAATCATCTTTGACATGGTTGGAAACGTTCCTCTGCAATCCTAATCCAATGAGGAAAACTACGATGGATCTTTATATATATACACACACACACTCAACATGAAAACTACTGACTCGTCCAATCTACGCAATTTCTCTCAGCGATTTTTTCTGACCACATAAAGTATACAGTCAAGTTTCCAAAACTGAAAGTATGGGATACGATTTTTGCTACAACAGAAGCTGCTTGAGGATGATGGCCGGTGCTTATTACCTGCCGAAGACAGCTTTGGGCGAAGATGCCCACTTTATCTGCGATGAACAACAGACAATCGGAGTGGCAGACGGCGTTGGAGGCTGGTCCAGGTACGGCATCGATTCCGGCGTCTATGCCCGGAAGTTAATGGACAACGCCGTGGAGTCGATTCAACAACAACCAAAGGGTAAGGTGAATCCCGGAAAAGTTCTGGCCGATGCTTTCTTTAACAATGAGGCCGAAGGGGGATCCACCGCCTGCATAATCACCTTAAAAAATAATGCCCTGCACGCTGTAAATTTGGGAGATAGTGGATTTTTACTGATCAGAGATGGCGAGATTGTGTACCGATCCCCGATCCAACAACGTTATTTCAACTGTCCCTTCCAGTTATCAAACTCGAAGAATGGCGATGCTCCAGATTCGGCGCGGAGAATCGTCGTCGGTGTGGAACCAGGGGATATTCTTGTGGCCGCCACTGATGGGTTGTTCGATAATATATTCCCTGATGACATTGCAGATGTAATGAACTTATTGTCCCTGGAAGAAGAACTGCCGCCGGAGTTGGCTGCTCGGAAGCTGGCGGAGTCGGCGAGACAGCAGTCTCTTTCGAAACAAATAGTTAGTCCCTTTACGGAAGCGGCAGTGATGGCTGGATTAGATTCGGATGTGTACAGGGGAGGCAAGTTCGATGATGTTACTGTTATTGTTGCTTACATTTACTAGTAGAAGATATGGGATTATTCATCTGTAAATGGTAGATCTACACCGATTTCCTTGTGATGATTGATGATCTGTAAATATAGTAGTCTGGTGATTGTTTTATGCAATGTAATTCATTGGTTACTTGTTATCCATCATCCTAATTCAATAGAAAGTTCTTGTAATATCATTACCATAACTATCCAACAAACGCTTTTCGTAAGATAAGGCCATTATTTTTCAATAACGATATATCCCAAAATTATTGTCCAGTTTGATATTTTACTTTTAGTATAATTTGAACTAAAAATGAAATTCTAAACTGGACAATAATTATAGGACGGAGGGAGTATATTTTTACAATTCATCTGTTAACTTGTATCTATACTTATGGATTTGACATTTGTTGTCAAAAACAATAAATGAAGTTATGTGCTAAGTGAGAATGTAAAGTATAGATATAAAATTATATGAATAGTTTCAATCTCAATTTTCTATATATCTATCTATTCTCATATGGAAAAATAAGTTTCACCGTTATCACTACGATGATCGACATTGTTTAACTTTGTAACATATAGATACATAATGATTAACAAGTTTGATATATGGAGGGGATAAAAAGATTCAGTGAAAGTTTATCTCTTCGAATTATTTTTAGTCTTAGAATCAACATGGTCGAAGTACATTTGACAAATAGTTTTAGAATTGGAAATTGCAGCGAAATTCTAAAGGCGTAAAAAATAATAAGTTTACGCATAAACAATTTCCTATTGCAGATGGGATTTGAATTTGTGGTTCTTTTGCAAATCCGAATCCAACGAGGAAAAAAGAAAGCAGGGAGGCGGTTGCGTGCACTTGATCTCTCTATATAAATGTACCCTCGATATCAATCCAATAACACAGTTAAAAATTTATCTGCGATACGCAACTTCTTTTGTATCTCAAGAACTTTCTGACATTATTATTATTATCAATGGCTGCTGAGCCTGAGCCTGCTGTTGAAGATATCCCTCAAAATGTCTGTTCTGGTGCCGAAGGCAAAAGCAGCTTGAGGATGATGGCTAGTGCGTATTACCTTCCAAAAGAAAACAGCGATAATAATCCTTTAGGCCAAGGAGCCCACTTCATCTGCGACGAACAACAAACCTTCGGATTGGCCGACGGCGTCAGAGGACCCGATTCCGGCGTGTACGCCGGAAATTTTATACAGAGTGCCGTTGGTTTGGTTCAAGAAAAACCAAAGGGCGGCGTGAATCCTAAGCAAGTTATCCAAGAAGCCTTTTTGCAGAATAAGGGCGTAGAAGGGTCAATCACTGCTACCATAATCACCCTGGAGGATGATTCTTTGAGAGCTCTGAACATGGGAGATAGCGGATTTCGGATAATCAGGGACGGAAAGATTGTGCACGAATCCACGACTCGATTGAGAGGCTTCAAGCGTCCAATCCGAAGAAGAAATCCCACCGGAACTCTTCCACCCCCGGCGCAGGAAATCGCCTTCAATGTGAAACCAGGGGATGTTGTGGTGGCCGCCACTGTTGGCTTGTTTGATAATGTACCCGCTGAAGACATTGAACTCATGATAATGACTTCATTCCTAGATGAAGATACCCCGCCGGATTTGGCCGCGGAGCGTTTAGCCAAGATGGCGAGGTCTGTCTCTTCCGATAGGAAGAATTCCGTCAATGGTGGTGGATATGGTTATGTGAAAATCAGGGGAGACAAGTACGATAATGTTACTGTAATAGTCGCTTACCTCTACGAACCAGATGCAAGTCCAATGGAAATTGAAGAAAGTGACATAACTTCATAACCTTCCCCTGTGAAAGAGTGAACATTTTAGCTTGCTTGCAGTGGGGTCCGTAGATAGTCTGAAAAGTTCAATTCTGATGGAATTCTGATGCAAGTTAATTTAGCTGTATACTTATTTATTTTGAGCATAATGTAAGCCGAGTCTAGTAACTTTAAAGTTGTAAGTTGTAACCAATAAAATAAAGTCATTATTTATTTGACCAGCTACATAGATTTTTTATGTTTCTTTTATTTTTCTATTTCCAAAAAAATAGTACTTCTGAAATCCTAACCCTAATAGGCTAAAGATAAGCAAAGAAATCTCCTCGTTTGATCTAATATAAATCCGGTACTTCCCTTTTTCAAATTTTTATCATCACCCTTGAAATTCTCTGCTATTGATCAAGAAAGAACAGCAAAGCTTAATTAGCCAATTAGAGAAGAGGAGACTTCTGATCAAGTTTCCATGGATATTTAGTTCCTATTCCGACAGTAGGACAAACTTGAGGATGACGGCCGGCGCGTTCTACAAGCCGAAGAAAAGCAAAACGAAACCTTTAGGCGAGGATGCCCACTTCATTTGTGATGAACAACAGACAATCGGAGTTGCAGACGGTGTCGGAGGCTGGGCCAAGCACGGTATTGATTCCGGCGTCTAAGCCAGAAATTTGATGGAGAATGCCATCGGTGCGACTCAAAAACAACCCAAGGGTAATGTGGATCCTAAGAAAGTTCTGGTTGAGGCGTTTCAGAACAATTACGCTAAAGGGTCCAGCACTGTTTGCATAATCACCCTCAAAGATAATTATTTACACGCTTTGAATTTGGGGGACAGTGGGTTTCGGGTGTTGAGAGGAGCGGCAAGATTATATACAAATCCCCAATTCAAGTGGAAGGATTCAATCACCCGCTGCAATTAGGAAATCCTCTTGGCGTTCTTTACAGTCGGCAGAGGAAATCTTCGTCCCTGTGGAAGCAGGGGATATGATTGTGGCAGCCACTGATGGGTTGTTTGATAATTTATTCCCTGAACAGATTGAAATATTGATGAACCCATTCTTCGAAAATTACCTATCGCCGTAGATAGCGGCTAGGAATTTAGCATCTCTGGCGGTCGCCGTCTCCCGTTGTAAGCATGTTGTCAGTCCTTTCACGGTAGCTGCTGTAGAGGCTGGATTCGATTGCGAGGCATACAAGGGAGGCAAATACGACGATGTTACTGTTGTAGTTGCTTACATCTCCTCGGATGATCCAATGGAAATTGACTGACTTTATAACCTTTCCCTGTTAAGCGTGCACATCTTAGCTTTGTTTGTAAATAGTCTGAAAAGTTTAATTCTGGTGTAACCAATAATCATAGGAAAATTCACCAATTTGTGTTTGTTTCTTTGTAGACCATAATGGATACTAATACTATTATGGATGTAAAGTTGCTTTGTGTTCATCGCATGTAAAGTACTAGATCCTAACTATTACAAACTTCAGCTAGACTAACTATTACAAACTTCAACTAGAAGTGCTCGTGCTGATCTATGAGCACCTTGCACTATGTCTCGCTCTACTTTTACAAAAGAACAACATGAACAACACACAAAACTATCAAAAGAACAACATAACTATCAGCTAAAGACCTAATATCATCTTCATCTTGCATGATCTTATTTGCTTAATTGCTTTATTTTTCTATCTTTCCCCCCGTGGAATCGGTGCTAAGTTTCAACCTGTCTGTAAATTATTCCCTTGAGCAAACCATTTTCTGTCTCTATCAATGACTACGATCCAACTCCAACATTACAAAACACAGTAAAAATTACCGCAGAGCCAAAACAGAGTAAATGCAGAATAGAAGTAGTCATTTCCATTCAATGTTATTCAAAATCAAAAGCACGGTCGAAGACTCAACATGGAAGTAATACACAAAATGCTTCAATTACCAGCATCAAAATGTCTAGATAGCCACTATAACGCAAGTTTCAATGAAAAGAAAACGATACAACAGCTTCACCAAATTATTTCATAATTGACCTTACAAAAAGATACAAATTCAGAATAAAAACTTATTTGTCACCGCCATGACCACGTTCCCCTGCCTTCCTCCTCAACTCCACAACATCTTCATCCATTCTAGCACCTTCACTGGAAATAGTTCTGTCCTTGTGCTCTTTAGCAGGTTTCTTAACATGATCTTCAATATAATCATCAACTGAATCCTCATCAGACGAGGATCCGACAACGGTTTCCTTAATCTTATGCATAGTCTGCTTCGCCGTCTCCGCCACCTTATGCATTCCTTCCTTGGTCTTATCCATCACCGTCTCCGCCGCACCCATGGTCTTCTCCCTTGCATCATGAGCATACTCCTTGGTCTTATCCGCCGCCGTCTCCGCCGCGTCCATGGTCTTGTCTTTCGCCTGCTGGGCCTTGTCTTTCGCCGTCTCCTTCATGTCGTGGGCTGCTTCTCCGGCCCTTTCTTTGGCTTCTTGGGTCTTGTCAGCGGCCCGGTCCGCCATTTCACTGGTTCTGTGCTTGGCTCTGTCGGCTGTATCCTTAGCTTTGTCTTTCATTTCTTGAGTCCGCTCTTTTGCGGAGTCCATGGTTTCCTTCATCCGTTGCTTTGTCTCCTCTGTCATCTCAGAAGTCCTGTCAGCTGCTGCTTCAGCATATTTATCAGCATTATGTTCCATTTTCTTTCGGTTATGATCATCTTCTCCATATCGACCCTTCCATTTAAAAACAAAATTTATATCAAAAAAAGTTTGTAACAATTAAATAATCTTCAAACAAATCGAAAAGTAAAATACCTCGGACTGTTTGGTGGCAGAAGTGAAACAGACCCTGGAAACTTTGGTATTGGTGAAAGCATAAGAAGGCTTAGGAAAAGCCTTTGAGATGTTGAAGATTGCGGTTTTGCCTAAAGGAATTGTCGCCATTGTTTAACAAATTACTGTCTCTTCTTCTGATCTGCGCAATTTGGATTCTTTTTTCCTTTTTTTTTTTTTTTTCTCTTAGGTTTTCAGTTGGGGGCGATGGATCTTTGCATTTCACCGATCAAGTTTGGGATATATTGAGTAAACGGAACACAGGTGGCATTGGAAAGGGATGACACGTTTCTGAGGAGCTGACACGTAGCTTGTTGCATGTTGACAGTTGACGACCTACTGCTCAAATCAAAACTCTTTCTTCCTCATTCTTCTCAAGAATCCTGTAAAATGTATGCATATCTGTGTGGGTCCAATAACAATTTAGCAATTTAAACAATTTCATTACCAAATAAACTAGTACTAGTACATAATCTTTTTACTTGTTTGAAAAAGCATTTTTTTTTTTTTTTTGTGTTATGGAACAACCAAACCGTTTGTCCGAATTTACTTTCAGACTATGCCATCCTTAATTGTACCAAAAAGTTGCAATTTTAACGCGTGTTAATTACATTCTTTTTTCAAAGTGGGAATTTTAGAATTTACTTTGATACACATTTAAAACCAACAAAATTGTCTCGTACAAAAAGTTGAAAACAAAAAAGAGAGAGAGAGAGAGAGAGAGAGAGAGAGAGGGGAAAAATGAATAGTTAAAGCACTTTAGGGTTGAGTTTCACATTTCTTAGAGAAACCAAATGCTATAATTAAAAACCTTTTCAAAAAAATGCTTTAAAACTTTTGATATCCAACGCCTACGCCAATTACCTCGATTTATTTATTTAGTTATTTCTTTTTTGGTACAAATTTATTTAGTTTTTCGCTGTGGCTGAAGGAAGTGGAGTCTTAAAGAAAAACTCAAAAACTAACACAAGAAAATACCGAAATCGTGTATTTTCAACTATTTCGAAGATTGTCTAATGTCCGTCCTCTTAATGAAAGCCAATAAAATTTGAAATACTATAATTTACTAGGGAGTAATAAATCAAGTTTTTCATTCTTCCAACATTTGGAAGCTATTACTGAGTTAATTACTCTAAACTTTCATCAAACATCAACAGCTACATAGGAAAGATCGAACAAAGATGGATCGATCAAATTTTTCGACCGAAATTCTCGTCCATAGAGCGCCTATTCACCTCCACTCCACTGATTTCATCCACCGGTCTCTTCTGACAGCTTTTTTGAATGATTTTCATCATCATCTCCAACCGCATCGGCCTGCATCAACTTCCTCTGCCCGGCGGTCTGATTTTCCTCGGTTTGTACCCGTTTGTTGACTCCAGATTTCTCAACCTCGCTAATTGTATAGTTGGCCTGATTATCATCATCATCATCGTCCCGGCTGCTCTGATCACCGGCCGATTGATCTTTTGTTCCATACGAGACTCTTAAGCCGTATGTGAACAAGCAAGCTCTTGAAAGTTTCAGAAATTGTACCGTTGACGTGGACAAACGGGGAGAACACGATTTTGAAATCACAAGCATCGTTTTCTCCATCTGGAAAAACAAATGGCTAATTTAGTTGGATAAAAAACTCAGAGAAGAACTTGGTTTGAGTAACTGAACCATGGGCTGAAAAAATGACGAAGATGAGAAGAATATACGTTGCCATGAAATATGACGACAAGTTGACACGCGCGTTTGTTACATAATATATTCCACCTATTTTTTCCTTGCCGTAACCTTAAGATTATTTGTACAACTATTATTGACAGTGCGAATTGTATTACACTTATGTGTTTAGTAAGTTGTATCTTTAACCGTAAGATCGAGGTTCGATTCCTACCACAGACTTGGGAAACAAGAAAAAAAAAATAAGAAACTAATCAGCAGTCAATTTAACTAGGTAGGAAGGAAACCTACCATTATCAGACACAGAAGACTGAATACATCGAGTAAGAGATATATGTGAACAGAGTCTTCCGCAAATAATATTACTCCACTCCCTAGTAGGTTCTATCTCAGTTTAATAACCTAAATACCTCTAAAAGCTCCAAAACTCCGGCCTCAAAAAAACAAAAAAAATTATTGACTCAAAATAGTTTACATTGATTATGAAATTTGTAAGGAAAAACATATGTGATAATTTTATTACGTACATCAAAATATTTATTATTTTATTAAGACGTAAAAGTATAAAACAATAAGCAAAATTATGTAATCATTTAAAATTTCAAATATAAATCAAGGAATGTACCTCGATAGTGTGTTATGTATGTTTTATGCAACAATAATCTAACAAGTTTGTATTCTTACAGTATCAAAATGATTGTCGTATTTGAATTTTTTTCTTTTAGTATAATTTTCAAAAGTATCTATGGGTGTGGTTTCAAAAAAAAAAAAAATCTCATGCGAATTTAATTATATAATTAAATAAATTTTTCTCCATTAAATATTTTTTGATTTTGGGTGCACAAAAAGAAATTTCTTCTGCTTCCAGTTTAGAGAAATGTTAAGTATTTTTAATTGCATTATCTAAAAAAAAAGTATTTTTAGTTGCATTAAAATTATGTGCTAATCCCTCATTACCAAAGAAAAACATTGAACCGTAGAACTTCCATAAATAATATTTTATAAACTAATAATTACTATTAATATTAAATAAATTTCTCTGGTCTCCAATAAAAATAGTAATAAACTTGATTAATCAATAAGAATTTTTAAAAATCCTTCATGTGAATATAAGTTCTTATAATTTTATAAATTAATAAATACTTATAATAAAATTTAAATTTTAAAAATTATCTTAAATTTTAATTTATATTTTTTGAAGTTTGTAAGTGTCATCTTTTTGTTTCATTAGAAAAATTACAATACTACCGATTTTTTTATGCAAAAATAATAAAATCTAGTTATTTTTCTATTTATAAGATTGGAAAAAAGTTTGTTAAATTAATATATATTTATTTATCTTAAATTATTAATTATAAATCATAGATTTGTTAATATATTAATAAATCTATAAATTAATTAAATATTTTTAAAATGTATTAATTTATAGAGCTTTTAATTGTAATGGGAAATTGTGTTTTTAGAAAAAATACCAGTAACGAATTCCAATAGGCTGACCGAAAGCCGTCCACATCATCCTTCTACCCTCAAAACTGAAAATAAGATAAGGGACACCTTCCTGCTCTTCAATTTCATCTCAACACTCTCATTTTATCACTGAACTTCCTCCTCCTCCTCCTCCGACAACGTCCCGGCCACCGGTCATGGCCGCCGCTGCAAGCTCTCTCTCCACCTTCTCCTCCCTTTCCATTCGAACTCCTCCTTCGCGAGTTAATAATCCTCACCAAATTCTCCCCTCATCTTGCCTCCCAAAACCTCCACAACCTTCAGCATTTCACCTTCCAATTTCCTCCAAATTAACCCCCATCAGGGTCTCTCCTTCCGACATTGACACCACCTTTTTCGACAACGTAGACCCAGAAGAAATCAACACCTTCGATCCCCCGGAACCCCCGGAAGGCTTTGTTCCCCCACCTTATTTCGATGAAGGGCCGGTTGAGACAGAGGAAGAAATAGCTCTAGCCTATGAAGAACTGTACGGGCCAGGTTACAGCGGGGAAACTTTCCTGGGAAATGATATTAATGTTATGGATAAGGCCAAGAAGACAACTACTGGGTTTGGGGCTGGGGGCAAAAGAGAAAAGGTCAAAGATGGGTTTGATGAGAGGGTCGTGCAAGTGAGGAGAGTGACTAAGGTTGTTAAAGGTGGGAAGCAATTGCATTTCAGGGCTGTGGTGATTGTTGGCGACAAGAAGGGTCAAGTTGGTGTTGGAGTCGGCAAAGCTAAAGAAGTTGCTGCTGCCGTTCAGAAGTCTGCTGCTAATGCTCGGAGGAATATCATCTCCGTTCCAATGACCAAATATTCTACTTTCCCTCACAGGTAATTACGTGGTTTTTGCTTCCCTGTTTAGCAATTGAGTGTACACTTGATCATTATGGATGATTTCAATTGTAGCGAAACAGTAAAAGTTAGTAGCGTCTTGGATTTGAAGCATTACATAGAGGGATAATGTGAAACTGATCAGGCTGTGATACTACATTGCTGTTTCCATCGAGCTGTCAATCTGAATCGTTTCTCTGAATTTCTCAGTGCAAATAATCTGTCAGATTGTGAAATTCGACTGGCAAAATGCCTAATCCTTGTTTGATACTTTGATTTGCTTGAAGGTGTTACCTCAATAATATGTTGTACTTTTTGAAATGAATTCAATGGTTGCATGTTGGTACTGGAAATGCTAAAATGCTATCCAATTATCTGTTAGTAACTTTCATGAAGTGAATGTTTGGACTTGGGACGTTTTTTAACCCTTAACCAACCTGTATTATCCAAACCAACTGCTCAGCTTCTTTGCAACGAACTAGTGGTCGACTGTTGTAAGTTTTGGTTATGAAAATAAGCTGCCTTCGCTGGGCTATGTCTTAGAATATGAGGAAGAATTGAATAATCGTTCAAGAATTTCTGAGAGCTGACGAGTTAACTTCTCTTCTCAAACATGTTGAGCCTCCTTTTGGGAAAGGGATAGGCCATGTTGCAATGCTTATTAGTCTTTCATTTAACATCTGTTTGTGCTTTCTAGCACCTTTTTAGGCCACTCGTGCAGCTACATTTGTAACTATTTTCCCATTGCAACCAAGTTGCATCATTGAAAAGGTCCCACGAAGATAAATTTTTACTCAAGTTTGCTTCTACATTAGAGCTCTGCTGCTGCCTTAGCCTTGAGATCCTAGGTAGTGTAAACGGACTTATTTAAGGATGTCCCCTTTCTGTGATTATTTTTTTAATACGATTAAGCTTCTTTTCAGTATTTTATCGGCTTCATAGACCCGATTTCGGATACAAATGGAACTGATCCCCTTTTAGTGTCTGTACCTTAAAGATTATTCCTTTATTTTTCCCAATCTGGTGGATAACAAAATTATTCTGCTCAAAATGTGTAACGCAAGTTCTTGCATTTGATAAAATTTCTCATCGTTTTGCTATGGGGAGATCTAAGAGGACTTAGGAATAACTAGCAAAGTACTCATGATGTATTTACAGTTAATTGAAGAGGCTACACTGAGGTATGATCCTTATAGCAGAGCCGTTTGTGACGAAGGCTGAAAGGCTTAGTTGCTGTTGTGACCGTCTCGTTACGCTGATTGTTGTTCATTTCCTGTCATATTGCCAAAAATGGTCTTGTGCATAATAAATTTGTTTATTTTGTTGATTATACATATGCTGCCTCTTCAATATATGGTTCTAAGAAGTTTTTTGATTCCGACACTTTGTTTCACAAGAACTTTCTATAGTGGATGGTGCTGTGGTCGGGGTATGTGTTTACTTTAATAGTTGGATAGAACTAAGGTACTTTGGAAGGATAAATAATCCGTAAGCATGAAAGATACTTTAATAACCCTCGTCGAATTTGTTTCCAGCTTGTTCATGTTAAAAATATATCGTTTGAAGGGCCTTCTGGTTGTTGCTTATAAGTCTTCAATCTTCTAATTCCCTGTGGAACTGCAGAGCTGATGGTGATTTTGGTGCTGCAAAAGTGATGCTGAGACCTGCTTCCCCTGGTACTGGTGTGATTGCTGGAGGAGCCGTGAGAATTGTACTTGAAATGGCCGGAGTTGAGAATGCTCTAGGGAAGCAGCTCGGGAGTAACAATGCCCTCAATAATGCAAGAGCTACAGTGGTGGCTGTGCAGAAAATGAGACAATTTCGTGAAGTCGCAGAGCAACGTGGTATACCCATGGAAGAACTGTGGAAATGAAGGAGTGAGCACGCATTTTTGTTCTTCTCACTGTAGAAATTTCGTGCTAATGTAATTCCCTACTATATTCCTTTTGATTCATTGATACAAAAAGTATGGAATGCACAACAGATGCTAATTCCATTTCCTTTAATCACCACCCCTAAATCCTTCGGCTCAGCAAGAAATCTTGGCAAATTAAAAACCTATCTCCTTTTTGAATAAATTATTAGCGCGACTAACCCTACACGAATTGACACTCGGAACATGAAAATCAGCTCGAAAACATATGAGGTTATCATGAGACTTCCATTTCATTTTGTATGGAAAAAACTATTGCTCGTAATAATTATATCATAAACAGTGACAACAGAAAAACAGACTTGTGAATTGTGATCCAAAGATATAGTAAATTGGTTTTAAGAAAATTATCACCCATAATGTCAATTTGGGAGCTTTACCCTGTTTTTGTACTACGAGAAAAAAAAAATACTGTTAGGTAAAATAATATGGTCGGTACAATACACGAAAGTGAACTATTTTTCTGAGACAGGGGAAAAGAAATAAATAAAACCAAAAAAGAAAATAAAAGGGTGGGCACTGGGTTTCCACCCTCCTACAATGTCCATATCCTCCTCAATGTCTTCAGCTTTCGTCAATGTGCAACAAAGAGGCATCAATTCCGCTGCTTAATCCACTCACCATGACTAGCTGACGCGAAGAATTAAGAACATGAAGGAATAATTATAAGGACGGGAAATAAATGAATAATGACTTCAGAATCGTGTCAATTAATCACGAAGATGAAAGGCAAAGAACAGGAACGGATAGTTGCCATCAAGACGCAATCTATTTTTAGATATATGCCACCTTTCCATTCCATAGTTGCACAGTGTTGTCAATTGAGGATGTTGCAAAGATAGTTGAATCTGTCTGGAAACCAATATCCGTGATTGGGTCAATATGAAAGTTAATAGTCTCAACTGACATTCTTTCCTGGTCCAATATGAGGATCTGGATCAGAACCACAAACAACGTCAGAATAAAATAAAAACTTACTAATTCTTCCATATTGAAATCTAAGAATGTTTTTTTCACCTTCTTTCCATGCCCAGCACCAGCTAAAAACCTTCATCCTCTTAAGAAGCCACATCATAGAAGCTTGTCCGTTGAGGAGCTTTACCTTCTGGATTCTGTGAAGAAGGCTAGAAAAACACATAAAATGTTATTATGACTTTTTTACACACACTATAATGTGGAGTGGGCATTGAAACAGCCCTGACAATCTTGTCCAAAGAAAGATACAGTATTAAACAGAATAGAACTCAAACACCTTGTCCCGACATAGATACAAAAACAATGCAGCAAAAGTTACTTTTATTGATGTCAGAGAGTTCAGATAATCCTACCTCCCCAAGCATTCTCATCCCCTGAAGATGAATCTTGCTGATGAGTATTTGAAGAAGTGCTCTCATTATCTGCAGGATAGGTAAAACTTTTACCTATCCTGCAGAAAAAGAAACCCAGGAAATGAGACAAATATCTGTTAGCAGTCAACAAAAAGAAATATGATAGTTAATTTCCTTGAAATGTGAGCCCAGGGAGTGGTGATGAATTATTTTTCCCTGTGCATTTCTGGGCTGTCACTGCACACTCGTGCAGCTAGTGATCCCAGAATAGTTTGAGATTGAAGAGTTTTAATAAACCAGATTCAGAAAAGTGTGTACAGTGCAGCGCATAACTAGGATAGTTCATTTCTTTGAAATGTGAGCCCAGTAGACTGGTGATGAGAAATTCTTGTTCGCATTGTTTGGGCTATCACCTTGCAGCTAGACTAGATTGAGATCGAATTGTTTAATCTGTCACGCAAAAGATTTAAACAAGTGTGTGCAGTGTACAGCATAACTAGGATAGACGAACAATATCATACCCCTTTACAAAATGAACTAACAAGCAAAGGTGATTTTCAAGAAATTTCTACAGAAAATCCTGTTTCATGAAAGAATCAGTATTGAAAGGACTTCCTTGATCTTACCAGTAAAATAGACGCCATTCGAGTCAAGATCAATAGGCATCGATCTAGGCACATTTAGATAACTTTCTGAAGATAGTGTCAATGTACACGATTTGTCTCCTTCTGGTCTGGCTAAATTACACTTTCCATAATTGCATTCTGACACCAGAGTTTGTTGTAGTTGCTTTTCTGTAGATGCAGACAGACTCGAGAACTGATCCTTCGCAGAAATAGAGCTTGAACTAGCACCCTACGGAATGATAACATTGAAGTGTAAAGGATAGCATCAGAACTTCAACTTTTTAGGGGTGTGAACAAGCAACTTACTGTCGAAAGATGGGGCGATATTGGAATCTGCTGAGCCAACCTGCCCTTGCCTGGAGATATATCAGAAAATCAATCATTAAAATCTACCATTAAAAACTACAATGCAAAAATTTATACACAACACAAGAGGGAACAATAACATAGTCATGAAGTTACTTCCAGATAAACCATGGGTGCTCTTCAGGCAAATATTGAAGTAGGTAGGATAGAAGGAAGTAAAAAATCTTCAATATCAAATCTGCACAATTAATTGAATATTTCAATGTAGGATTCATATGCTCTATTATATAGAACATTAAAATAACAATGAAGGGACAATTTCATGGAAAGTAAGCCTACCGCAGTAAATGAAAAATGATAATAATGAACGTATCCAAAGCAAATAACAAAAATACTAACACATAGGTGAAGCTTAGAAACCCTCAGAAAAATAGGAGGCAGCATCGAGTTCAGGAATTATGTTTACCTATTAACTGCCATTGAGGTAACCATTTAGGGGAAAAAGAAAACATAACAGCATTTCAAGCTGATACAGAGTACACCATGACTACGTAAAATTGGTCCTTTTCTTTTTCTTTCTTTGTTCACGTAATAGCGATGGCAGTAATTTTAAAGGGTTTTGCAATCACCTAAATCTAATATTTGAAAGCACCATATTCTCAAATCTTACTTCCCTAAAAAAGAAAAGGAAAGCCCCCATCCACAATTCCATCGATAACATCACAAAATGCAGTTAATATGAGTTTCCTATGCACATGTCAAAGCAACACGTGATTCTCTCATTTTCCCATCTATTAGTGTTGAACCCACGCCATTTTTACTGTTTTCATTATTAAAGATGAGTCCTATATATAATGTCTTCTAAATTTCCCAATTCTCAACTTACATCCAACATTTTATAAAAACAATTTGATGACTTAATTCAAGCTCACAAATTTTGATGTTCTCGGCATTGTTCTATTACTAAAGTGGTATTCCACATATTCATTTTAGATATATGCCCATAATCTAACATTTAGGTTGTAAAACTTTTCTCTCACCATATCAACTAACTCTACATCCTATATACAATAAAAAATAGATTTCTATGAGTTAACCCCATGATATGCTTCTTAAAAGTCTATAAGGAAGTTCAATCATTTTTTTGCCTTGTGGTCAAATTGTTTTTTGTGTTGTCTCTAAAGCTTGCATCGTAGGTGTTCTTAGCATGAATCCACAAATTAGTATCTGTTCCTCAGTTTCACTGTATGATCCATAAATTTCACACACCGTAATCTCTCTATCTTTGTTTGTGTACCTCTTTCCCCTTAACATCCTTATGGTATTAAATTACCAATAAAGCAAGTTATTATACAATGTTAAAACATGGTTTTGACTAATTCTTTTGTTCTAACTTTCAATTCCCTTGTCAAGATTTAAAAAACTTCTTAAAGTGTACGAGGATAATGTTTGAGATCCTCTACCCAACTATACTTTTCCTTTTAAGCTGTAAACAAGTTGGGCTAGTGAATGATTGATCTCTCCAGCTAAACAATCTCGGACAAGATACTTCCATCTTTGTTTGACATTGCTGAAGTTGAAGGAGAAGTTTATGTTTGCGAACAATTTTATATGAATAAATATGGTTACATTGCCCCTTTTTAGAAGAGTATTCGTACCTTTTCAGAAAAAAAAAAACAGAAAAAAAGAAGAGCATTCATACATAATGACAATCTCCTTAGACATGATTGATAATAACTAGCTAATACATCGGATGGGCATTCATTAAAAGCAATTATAGATAGAAAAAGAAATATGCAAGGAAACGTGTTAAAGCAATCCAACAAGTACTTGAGCTGAGAAAAGGAGAGGGCTCACAGACCAAATACGCAAAGTCATAAAAGCGATAGAGGAACATGAACTCTCAATACTTTTTGATCCACCCATATCTTATAAGCATGATTTGGACAACTCACAAGATGCGATTGTGGTGTAACTACTTTGTGACTGCTTGTGTTCCACATAAACAACACAGCAAAGTGAACCATTGTAGTGAAAGCGTTCACATTGTTGCAAACGATCTTAACATCGTTGCTACAAGTACAAACGTTGAACTTCCGGTTACTATGTGAGAGGTGCAAGCATTTATTGATTGATCCATAGAAATTATTGGCTTCGTGTGTGCCTATGCCTTAAAGCAATCTTAGCACAGTGAAGCAAGAAAATGGGTAAATTATCTTAACGAGCCTATAAGGGCGCACTTAGAAAGTAACTCAAAAGATTGAAAGGGATGGGCATTGTCTTCACGAGCCTAAAGTAAAGTTATGACATCAATCAACGATTGACTTTTTGTTGAATACAAGATCAAAGTGGATTGGGCCCTAAATCGTTGTCTTTTGAAGATGTAGATTGCCTTAGCACATCAAAGCATTTACACCATTCATAACCAGTTGAGATGTTCCATTCAAACATTCAACAAAAATGTTTGATGAGGCCATACTTTGTTCTTTGGCCTTGCGAGCTCTTAGAGATGAAATAAGGTACATAAAGAGTTGTAAAATCTTGCGATCAAAATGGTCTTACATCACAAGTTAGCTTCATAGCAGGAACGGAAAGTTTAAGCCCTGTATGACTAACAATTCGATTTGCCTGACCTAGCAATCGTTATAAGTTTCACTATGCCTAGACACTACATAGGAGAATTCAAGATGATTCTTAGTTGTGGTTTTCTCTTTCTATAAAAGAAAAAAAAGAAAAAAAAAAAGGCGCAAGCACAGTTGATTTTAGTTACATCTTTGGTCAGATGCTATGCTTACCATTTCAATCAATTCCTTGGTTATCGAATCGATCACTTTCATCAATCAATCGCGTCACCCTTCGGAAAGCTTCAAAGTAATTTCCACATGAAACGAGCGGCAAGACCTAGGTTTTGTCCTACCAATTCT